GCCTGGCACCAAACCATTGTTCCTCTCTGGTTCTAGTGGCTGGGGAGGGAGCAGCTGGAAGCTCAGCATGTTGAGATTACCAGGAACTCAGGGAACTAAACTCCTGTTACATCATTAAACAGGAACCCAAGAACTATTTCTTTTCCAGATGATAACGCTAAGTCATGCTTTCACCTGAATCTACTGAGGGACAAATCCATCGACCAGGCCGCAGAGCAGGGTCATATTGGACAAGCAACGCCACATGAGCTCCCAGTGTGACTTAAAATGGGCTACTGTGACCAATACGGACATAGGCCTGGAAAGGACCTCCTGGGTCAGTGTGCCTGGCCCCCTGTTATGGCAGGTGACCCAGGCATATCATCCTGTGAATAAGCCTGTGTAAGCAGGGTCTGAGTGAGTTCTCCCCCTGACAGCTGTCCAGGAGGGGAGTGACTTCAGAAGCAAACTTTATTTTCATGAACACACTTACTCTGCCTAGGGATCCAGTGACCAACTTTGGCTAGTGTTGGGTTACAAATCACTGTAGTACTGAATGCATTGGGGATGAAATGTTATCAATGTTACTGTTTTTATTGTATGAATAAAGGGGAGCAGAACTGTGCTTAACCTGCCCCAAATGAGGGGGTCACCCTGAGCTGAAAGTATCACATCAAGCCAGGGACTCGAATGCCAGATTCCTGTGAGGGTAATGTGGGGGGACAGGTGTCCTAGCCAGGATGTGTGGACTCTTCCTAAGGGTCCCAGGTGTGGTTTAACATGTTCCTACCTACTGTTCAAAGATAGAGCTAAATAGAGACCATTAGGAGCCTTTTGTTATTTTCAGTGATCAAATGAGAACTGAAATCACTTGTGGTGGGACGGCATTTCTGCCTGGCCTGTTAAAAGTTGAAAATCACTAAGAGCTGATAATCACTAAGAGACTGACCTTCCAAGTTCAAAGCAGAGATACTGGTGGCAGCAGAAACAGACTAAGGAGAGGAACTGAGTCTGGTGGGAGGGCCAGACAGAGCAAGTCCTCAGATGGTAGAGCAAGCAAGGTGCCTTCTTCCCCAGGTGGGAGGTGAACTCACACATATGCACCTCTCAACCCTGTGTCCTCACTGACCAAGGATGACCACAGTGAGTGGGGTGAGGTGAGGGAGCAGAGTGGGGAACAGTAAAGTAACTTTTCATTGTAGAACTCAAGCATATGAGGCAGAAAACACTGCCCCACACATTCTGTCCTTCTCACACTTTTTTGTTTAAGAATCCTGCTTGTGACATTTTCCCTAATTGATATCGAATGACTTCTCTCCTTTAATTAAAAGTTACTTTCCTACACTCAGAGTTTGTGCGTGCGAGTGGAGAAGTATTTCCTTTCAGAGGCACCAAGGGGTGGGGTGTAATTTTCCCAGTTTTCTGGATGGGGGCATGAGCCGCTTCTCTGTTGTATTTCTGAATGATCCAACCTACATTCTTTTGGGAAGCCAAGGGGCTTTTGGGACCAGTGTTGTAGCTAGAACAGGAAAACTAGCTGGGCCCAGCTTTCAGGAGACCCATTACCACCAGATTAGAGTTTTGTGTGGCCCTGGCTCAACCGGGAAAACTGAGGTTCCCTCTCCATTCCTTCTGCAACCCCCCTCCTGCTGGGGAAATGGGGTCAAGGGCTCAGGGGTTTGCACCCTTCTCTGCTACTGGGGAGTGGGGTCAGGGCACGAGGTCAGGGGGTGGGGGCGTGTTCCACTTCCCCCACCCAGTGATTCTGAGATGCTCGGCTTACCCCACTCCTACACTCAGGGCTATTCCAATGCCCCGACCAGTTCTCCGGCAGTTGGGTGTGGGGAGAGGGGCAATCCCCCGCAACCAGACCGTGCTTCACCAGAGGAGAAGCAGGTGGGCGGAACGGAGCAGGGTGACACTATTGGCCCAGGACCTGTGGCTAATCCACTACTGGCCCAAACCCGCCCCCAAGAAGGCACATCCCTATCTGGGACAAGAGACCAGGGAATCAGTGCTCCGGACTGGCAGGAGAGGGATACAGCTGGTCACCAAACTGGAGTCGGGAGTCCCTGTGGGTGGATTGGGTTTGGATGCTCAGTGGGTGGACCACGGCCCCCCAGGCCCACTCATGGCTACACCCCTGCTTCAACCCAGCCTTGATTCCCTGTGTCTCTGAGACCATCTTCCGCTCTGTTTTCTCCTTTCTTGTGGAAGCAGCTTTTGCTGAAACCTGTGTGAGCCTGCGTCCAGTCACCATAGTGCTCTGTGCTCAGTGTGTTACAGGGTCAAGGTGTGAAGCTGACCTTTGCCCTCAGACTACGTTCTGCCTGCCAGACCATCTAAGATGAGGCTCCTGTGTCTGTTGCTCCATTGTTTGCAATGGCTTCCAAACACCAGTCTGGTGACTGTGCAGAAACTCCCGGCATCCCCATGACACTCCTACACTCCCCTCCAAAATCCTCCTCCTTATTCCTTGTTCCTCATGGAGAAGGGAAGGGTCCTCCCCTACTGGAAGGATCCATGGGAAATTTCCATGTAGGGAGCCTTGTGGAATCTCCCTGCCCTGGGCTGCACCCTGGGTTTGTAATGCAGGAAAGGGGCTGCCGGGGAGTAATCAGGCCCCATATTATTACTATATTTTATTTTGTTTCAGCAACATCACAGCTGTGATGGCATCATCGTTACCACTCAGACGCCCTCGAGGTAGCCATGTCACTAATCAGAACCATTCGAACAGTGATGACAAGCCCGGATTCTAGGAATGGAGCCTTCAGCAAGGCTGGCGCTGCAGTCCAATTAAGTTGCATCACCCCACGTCCCCTGTAATTTGGCCTCCTGCAGTTTGCCATTGGCCACGACGGGGGGTAAAGCTGGTGCACACTGAGCCAAGCAGCTGAGGTTCCCTGATGGCCAAGTGGCCCCCAAGGGAATGTGCAAACATGCTTCATAAAGGCAGCTACCTCCCTATCTGAACAGATACTGCCTGCTGCCCGTGCTACTTCTGTGATGACTCCTTGTCCTTTAGGGTGAAAACCTGGTGTCAGCGGCTCCTCTTCTAGCAGGAATTGGGTACGTTGGCAGGTGTCACTATCTTTACAATCTGAAGTGAAGGGTAAAGGCTGCAAGCTGTTTAAATCTGAAGCTTTTCTGTGCCACTTCAGTGAACTTAGCTGTGCTGTCAGAATGACTTTGTAACAGGCACAGGAGGACATGCAGCAATGTGCTCAGAGCGTTATTCAAGTTACACAGAAACCGGAGCTTGGACTGTTAAAAGCCTGATGCCCCAAGTCAGGATTTCTCTATGGGTCCCATTTCTACAGGTGCCGTGTGCTCTGGGCCCGATCCTGCCAGGGGCTGAGTGACAGGAGACCCCACAAAATGTCAGTGACTAGCTCTCAAATCTACTCAGGTTTATTTGCTCCTGGAAATTTAATCAGCGAATGTATTTTCAAAGTTTTTATTGTCTGGCTTGATTGTGAAGGCAGGAATTCAGAGCTGCATTGCTCTGTGGTAACAGGTCCAAGAGGGCATATTTTTGCCCTATAGTCACTATAGTTACAGGGATACAGGCATCTCTTCCCCCTCTTTGGTCTCTGAGTGCCAGATGTTAGGCCTTGTAGCCTTCCTGCTCATGGGATCGAATCCCTCCATTCTCCCACCCTCAGTCTGGGCAATGGGCTACAGCCCACTCTTCTCCATATACTGTTTGCAATGGGTTTGTCCTATTAACTCTTTGTTCAGTGGACATTTGTGTGATGCTGTCTCCTGGTAACTGACTAGAAGCTGTTTCTAACACTTACATTCAGAGTCATGCACTCAGTAAGTCTGCAAGGCTTGTGCAAGACTTTCCAAAAAGTCATGAGAGACCAGAACCACTGGTCTGTGTTCCAGCAAAGAGTTTAGCTGAGGTGCAGGAAAGGGGAGTGGTATAGTAGTTGTATGTAATTGACCCCCGTCACCAATTACATGAGCATGGGTGAAGTAACGAAAGCTTATGCTCAAATAAATTTGTTTGTCTTTAAGGTGCCACACATACTCCTGTTCTTTTTGTACACTTCAGTGGATATTAGTGCAATACCCGTGTTTGAAGTATTGACCCATTTGTGAAGCCAACTCCTCCCCTGCCCAGCTGAAATAACTGTCAGTGTCAGCTTGTAATTTTCCAAATATCTACAGACTGTTGCATGGGCAGAGGGTGCAGGTCCCAGGGGGATAAAGAGAAGCCTGTAGGATGATCAAAGTCTCTACATTCCATCAACATTAGCCAGGCAAATCACTTCAGCCTCTCTTGGAGGGTTTCTTGGGGGCCAGAGTATATCACTGGGAGCATTTGGTGAGGGTGAGTTGATAGAGCCTGGTTCTGATTGAATTTACACATGAAACTCTGGTGTTAGGCTGTTGATATCACTGTTATTGAAATAAGGACCAGACCCTAAAAATGTATCCCATATGCTGGAAAGAGGCAGTTGCATAACTAGAACTATCAGGAGCACAGAAAAAAATAATTCATATAATGAAGCAATAAAACACATTTAAAAATAAAATCAGTGCAGGACAGACAAATATAATAACCATTTTCACCATGCACTTGCCATGTATTTACACACATGGCATGATACAAAGGGCCACAATGAGAAGTGGAGGGCCAGAATGGGTGTCTGTGTGAAGGGTATAACAGAGTTCAAAAGAGAACTACATACATTCATGGATGATGGATCTCTTGATGATGACCTGTTCTGTTCATTCCCTCTGGGGCACCTATCCTAAGCCACTGTTGAAGACAGGATACTGGGATAGATGGACCTTTCGTCTCACCCAGTATAGCCACTCTTATGTTTTTATGTACTAAGGTCACAATCGTAAAATCACACAGCCACAAGGTATCAATAGGACCAAGAGCTTAGCAGGATTCAAAGAGGGACTGAGTGATCTGAAAATCCAATTAGAGTGGAGAGGATTGTTTTAAAAAAGTTTTGGAGAGGCTCTAAACCTTCCTGATTTACACCACAACATATATAGTGGGTGTCAGGAGGAAACTCTCTGGGAGCAGGTTATCTCATAGCTGCCTAATCAGGACTTCTTCCACCTTCCTGTGAAGCATCTGGACATTGCCACTGGTTACTGGGGTAGATAGACTACAAGTCCGATCCAGTCTGACTAACCAGAACCATGTAAATCCAACAGTATGTTTTTGCGTATCTACCTTGAGCTTTGGGAGTCTGTAGGTTTGCACTGAGAGCAGAATGATTTCTTGCTAAATACCATATAATCTCCTCTTATTTTCCTTTTAGGAAAGACATTTCAGAACTCCTCGTACCTGCCCAGTACATTATGTCAGCTGTCAATGACACAAAATTAAAATCTGTAATATTCCTTCTCACCGGGCTACCGAGTCATGGAGACGCACATCTCTGGATTTCTGTCCCCTTCTGCTTCATGTATGGTATTTCGATAGTAGGAAATTCACTCATTCTGTTCATTGTAAAAACAGATCCAAGCCTCCATGAGCCCATGTACATTTTCCTTTCCATGTTGGCCGTCATAGATCTTGGCATATTGATATCCACTATGCCGACGATACTGGGCATATATTTATTTAACTCTAGGGAGATCAGCCTTGATGCCTGTTTAGCCCAGGTCTTCTTCATCCACTTGTTTCAGTGCATTGAATCCTGTTTGCTGTTGTTGATGGCCTTTGACCGCTTCATCGCGATCCATAACCCTCTGAGATATGCTTCCATCTTAACCCTGCCGAGAATAGCCAAGATGGGACTGCTGGCTGTGCTAAGAGCGATGGCCATAATACTTCCACTTCCCTTTCTCCTGAAACGGTTCCAATACTGTCGAGCCAATGTCCTCTCCCATTCCTACTGCCTGCACCGGGAGGTCATGAACATGGCTTGTTCGGATATCACAGTCAACATCATCTATGGATTGTTTACTAAATTCTTAACAATGGGGTTGGATTCACTGCTTATCTTCCTTTCTTATGTGATGATCCTCAAAACAGTGCTGAGCATCGCGTCCTACAAGGAGTGCCTGAGGGCCCTGAACACCTGCGTCTCCCACCTCTGTGCCCTTCTGTTCTTCTACACACCAGATATCAGCTTGATTGTGATACACAGCTTTGGGAAGGACTCTTATCCCTTACTTCAGATTCTCCTGGGCTACATCTCCCTGCTTCTCCCCCCGCTGATGAACCCAATTGTGTACAGTGTGAAAATCAAACACCTTCAGGTGAAGATAATCAGGGTATTTATCAAGTGAAGGGTCAGTTCACTACCAGGGTCCAGTGACATGGGAGACAAAATACATGGGCCACCTCTTCCATACTGGACCGTTATATCCAAGATGACATGATATTCACTATAAAGAGAAGTTCAGGTGAGGGAGGACAGGGCACTGCGGGAGGGAGACCAAGGCAGGCAGCAACATTTACAGAACGACTGTTTGTGAAGAGCCAGAGGATAGGTTGAATGTTCGACCATAAAGAGCTGTATTGGTTTCCACTCTAAGCTCACAATTCCTGTCGATAATCAATAAAGAGAAGGGATGTGGATGCTGTTTTCCATGGTCTGTCACTGTCCCTTCTCTGGCTACATATCCAAGGGCTATGAAAAAAAGCTGCAGAGCTGTTCTGCTGTAGCAGGCCTGACCCTTTCTGAGTGCTCTGGGTGCAGCATGACCCATGGGTGCTGCACCAGCTGGGGACAGGGGCTATTCAAGGGGCATGGTCACTCAGTCTTCCCCGGCACACTCAGTCAGGTGCTAGTGACTGACAGGTGTCAGACACATGATTAACGCAGGAGTGCCAGTAATGGTCTGACACACAGGAGTCATGGTAAGAGACTCAGGCCTAGGTTCCCTCCCCATCCGCTCCATTTGTGCTGCCCCAGCAATGCAAAACTGTCTTAACTATAAAGGGAAGGGTAACAACCCTCCTGTGTACAATACTATAAAATCCCTTCTGGCCAGAGACACCAAAATCCTTTTACCTTTAAAGGGTTAAGAAGCTCAGGTAACTTCGCTGACACCTGACCCAAAGGAACAATAAGGGGACAAGATACTTTCAAATCTTGGGGGGCAGAGGGAAGGCTTTTGTTTGTGCTCTTTGTTTTGGAAGTGTTTGCTCTTGGGACTAAGAGGGACCGGACATCAATCCGTGATCTCCAAATCTTTCTGAACAAGTCTCTCATATTTCAAACTTGTAAGTAATAGCCAGACAAGGCATGTTAGTTTTATTTTTGTTTTCTCAACTTGTGAATTTTTCCTTTGCTAGAGGGAGGTTTATGCCTGTTTTGCTGTAACTTTGAAACTAAGGCTAGAGGGGGTTCCTCTAGGCTCTTTGCATCTGATTACCAAGTAAAGTTATTTTCCATCCTGATTTTACAGAGATGATTTTTACCTTTTCTTTAATTAAAATTCTTCTTCTAAGAACCTGATTGATTTTTCATTGTTTTAAGATCCAAGGGTTTGGGATCTGTGTTAACCAGGACTAATTGGTGAGGGTATACCCTCAAGCCTACCCAGAAAAAGGGGTGTAAGGACTTGGGTGGGGGATTAGTCACAAATCTGCCCAGGAAAGGGGAGGGGTTAGAGACTTGGGAAATATTTGGGGAAAGGCAGAGATCCAAGTGGCTCTCCCCTAACACGCTTGGAACACGCCTGGTGGTAGCAGCTTACTGTTAACCTAAGCTGGTAAATAAGCTTAGGCGGCTTTCATGCGGGTCCCCACATCTGCGCCCTAGAGTTCAGAGTGGGGAAGGAACCCTGACAAAAACAGAGGAAACTGGCCTCAGCTCAGGCCCAGCTAGCTCCTATCCCAGCCCAGCCCATTCAGGGTAGGGTGACCACATTTTCAAAAGGCAAAAGCGGGACACAGGCCGGGAGCCCTGTTGCCTCGGTGACCCCGCCCCTGCCCCCCTTTTTCCTGCTGGAGGCCCCACTCCCTGCTCCTTTTATTCCACAGAGGCTACACCCCCTGTCCAGGCCAGAAGCCAGAGCCAGGCCATAGAAAGAGCTGATCCGGGAGCCAGGGCCTCTGTGAGGAGCCCCAGATCTTCCACCTGCCCTGGACAAGGGACTGGGGGGACAAGAGAATACCCCAGCCTATGTCCCTGCCCCTCAGGATGCATCACCAGAGAAAGTGGAGAGTCTGGGAATCCCCACAACAGCCTGGGCTCCTGGGGTAGCTGTAACCGTGCTTTGGTGGGTCACAACTGAAAATATGAAATTGAGGACAAACTGCTGAGAAATAGGGCAGAGAGACCCCCAAAGTCGTGGTTCTTCTCCTGTGAGATATACCAAGGATGACCACAGTGAGTGGGGTGAGGTGAGGGAGAAGAGAGGGGCATGGTAAAGGAACTTTTTGTTGTAGAACTCAAGCATATGAGGTAGAAAACACTGCCCCACATGCACTGTTCTGCTCACAATTTTATGTTTATGAACCCTGCTTGTGGCATTTTCCCTAATTAATATCAGATGACTTCCCTCCTTTAATTAAAAGTTACTTTCCTACCCTCAGACTTTGTGCTTGCAGGTGGAGAAGTATTGCCTTTCAGGGGCACCAAGGGGTGGGGTGTAATTTTCCCCAGTTTAGTGGATGGGGGCTCGAGCTGCTTCTCTGTTGTACTGTTGAAAAGGAACCCCTAGAGATTGAAGGCGGCCCTGGTTGCTGCTGCCTCCACCTGGCAGAAGGATGACATCTGCCAAGCTCCATTGTAAAACCACCTGAGTTGTTTGCTCAACACTGCTCCTGTTGGGAGGCTGTTCCAGAACATCCCTCCTCAGACGGTCAGAAACCTCCTTCTCCTTTCCGGCCTCAGTTTACTTCTGGTCAGTTTGTCCTTGTGCCAACACTGTATTTTAGCTTCAGGAGCTCATCTCCCTCCCTGGTGTTTACTCCCCTGATGTATTTATAGAGCAATTGGATCCCTGCTCAGCCTGCCTTGTCTTAGGCTAAACCTGTAAAGGTCTTTCAGTCTTCTCCTAAACCAGGCCTTCCATTGCCCTGACCATGCTCTGCAATTCCAACCTGAATTCTTTTTTTGGAATAGGAGTGACCAGAATTTTATACAGTTTGCCAGAGGAGGTCTCACCAATGTCTGGTATAAGGATATTAAAGCCCTGGCTGGGATGATATAGTTGGGAATTGGTCCTGCTTTGAGCAGGGGGTTGGACTAGATGACCTCCTGAGGTCCCTTCCAATCCTGACATTCTATGATTCTATGATTAATTCTTCCTTTTCTCACCAGACGCATTCTAGGATCTCATGTGCCTTGTACATCCCCATATCAAGACTGGATGCATTCCTGGAAGATAAGTTTTAGATTATTACAAGAAATGTATTAGACAAACACAAGTCATTGTGCTCAATACAGAGGTGACTGGGTGAAATTATGAATCATGAACAAGTAGCTACTCTGAATGCTGATAGGCACTCAACAAGGACATATGCTGGCCAAGAAGAATCAGGATTGTCACAATAAAACTCTGATATATGGTCTCTTTACCCTCTAAACTAGGTAATTGCCTGTCATGACAGGTGAAGAGAAAGTAATTAGGGAATTGTTATTGACTGTTTCTCATAACCCAAGAACTAGGGGTCGTGAAAAGAAATTAATAGGCAGCAAGTTTCAAACAAAGTTTTTCTTTACACAACACACAGTCATCTTGTGGAACTCCTTTCCAGAGGATATTGTGACTTCCAAGACATTAAAATGGTTAAAAAAAGAACAAGTTAGGAGGATTCTTGGAGGATAGGTCCTACAATGGCTATTAGCCAGGATGGTCAAGGATGGTGTCCGTAGCCTCTGTTTGCCAGAAGCTGGGAATGGGCAACAGGGGATGGATCAATTGTCTATTCTTTCCACTCCTTATGGGGCATCTGGCATTTACCATTGGCAGAAGACAAGATACTTGGCTAGATGTAATATCAGTCTCACCCAGTATGGCCATTCTTATAGTCTTAATTACCCCACTCTTAGAGTTTGGAACAACACCCCGTCTCTGCTAAATGCTTATCACGAAGTAGATCTGACTCAGTCTCTTCCCTTTGGGTACTTGTGACCAGAGCTATATAGTTACCCGCAGCCTCCTTAAAACAAATAGGTTTAGGAGTAAGCAGCACAAAGCATTAGAAAAATTGGTTTTAAAATAACAGATAGCTGTCACACATCTACACTCATCTATCATATCACTGAAATCTAAGGTAGACAGGCTTTGCTCTGGAGATAGAGAACCAGAACTGGCCCAAATTAAATTCTTTCAGGAAGCCAAGGAACTCTTGGGACCCAGCTTAGGTTCCCTGTGCCTCTGAAAGCATCTTCCCATCTGTTAGCCCCTTTCCTGTGGAAGCAGCCTTTGCTGAAACCTGTGTGAGCTTGGCCAAGTCAGCATTGTGCTCAGCTGTGTCCATGTTACAGGGCCAAGGCGTGAAGCTGACCTCTGCCCTCAGACTGCTTTAACAGGTGCTGCTTGCTCCTCAGTTAAATCCATTCAGACTGTGTAGCTTGCATACACTGGTCCGCTGACTGTGCTGAACCACTTGGAATCCCTGTGATGCTCCAATACTCCCCTCACTGTCAAGCCTGAGCACTACACATTTGCCATGAAAACAAAGGGGCTGGACTCATGGGGCATGCCAGAATCCAGTTGTCACAGGAGGCTGTGGTAAGAAGCCTTTTGTAGAGAAATGTCAGAGGTGTTGCTCTGTGAAACCCTGAAACAGCCCCGATCTTAGGGACTCAGAGTATCTGAACACCTTGAATGTATTTATCCTCCTGCCATCTCTAGAAGACAGGGTTGGGCTGTTATCCACCTGAACACAGGCGTGGAGACAGCCAATGGCTTGCCCATGGTCACAGAAGACAAGGGAATTAAACCCACCTGTCCTGAGTCACAGAGCAGTGCCTAGACCACAGCCCCAGGCTTCCAGCCATCTGAGTGGTGACAGGTCTAGATGGAATCTCTGCTGCACCTGCAGAGCTCCCCCTCCTGGCCAAGCTGTACAGAGCGCTGATAGGAAGGAGCGAGTTACAGAGGTTTGATTCTCTGGCTTGTTCTCCCCCTGCCTCAGCAGAGTTGAGAGCAGCCCGGGCACTTGGCTAACCTCTGCCTGACTTGAACAGCTTCCAAGAGCACAGTACACTCTGACCATGTTTGTACGGATCAGTGCCACCACTGAGTGTCCCCTGAGGGCTTGAGGTAGCCCTGCAGGCACCCTGCTCTGCCCTCTAGGGCAGGGGTTCTCAAACTGGGGGTTGGGA